CCTAAGAGTTTTCTAGTTTTAGGTATTACATTTAGGTCTCTGGTCCATTTTGAGTTAATTTTTTATATGGTGTAAGGTAGGGAATGGATCAACTTCATTCTTCTGCTTGTGGATAACCAGTAGTACAACACTTTGTTGAAAAGACTAGTCTTTCCCACCAGAGTGGCTCAGTTGGTTAAGCATCATCCTGTGCACTAAAGGGTTGCTGGTTCAGTTCAATTTCCAGACAGGGCACATACCTGGGTTGCAGGTTCAGTCCCTAGTCAGGGCACATATGGAAAACAGCTGATTTTCCTTGTCAATGTTTCTTTTTCTCTCTCTGCATGTCTTTCAGTGAGGATTAAAAAAAAAAAAAAGCAGCCCTGGCCGGTTTGGCTCAGCAGTTAGAGCGTCGGCCTGCGGTCCAGAGAGACCGGGGTTTGGTTCCCGCTACGGGCGCGTACCTCGGTTGCAGTTTGTCCCCGGCCCTGGTTGGTCGTGCAGATGGCAGCCACTCGATGTGTCCCTTTCACGTCGATGTTTCTCTCTCTCTCTCTCTTCCTCTCTCTCCCTTCCACTCTATCTGAACAAAAAATGGAAAAATGTCCTCGGTTGAGGATAAAAATAAAAACGAAATAAAAATAAAATAAAAAAATAAAAAAAAGACTAATCTTTCCTTCTTGAATTGTTCTGGCACCCTTGTTGAAAACTGAATGTAAATGTGAGGGCTTATTTCTAGATGTTTGCCTTTGATATTTAACATTCATGAATGTGGAACAACTGGGAAGAGTATCTTCTAACAACTGTTTCGGTAAGAGGTGTCTGTGTAGACATCCCACCCAACGCCATATCCCTTAGCCTACGTCCAGTTCCCCTCGGCCCGTGGACAGCTCCTGTGCAGACTGACAGCTTTCCCACACAAGCCACCTGTTCTAGCGTTCCTGCACCACAGAAACTGCTCAACCTGCACACAGCTGTCTACCAGGGCTGGGGATTTAACACCCCCAGGGCAACCCCAAACGGTAAGGAATGGGGGAACTGGTTGGTAAGGACCCCAGCGTCCCTGTCACTCAGTGTGGCTATTCTACATGTTCCTCACTAGAGCCTAGTGGAACTGAGCCCCACTTACCCTCAGCTAAAACCATCTCGTTAACTCGCCCCGCGTTGCGTTCCTCCATTCCCTGTCTCACTTTCTCCTCTCCCTCACTTCTTCATGGAATCGTCTCCCAAATAAACTACGTGAACCAAAGTCCTTTGCTTAGAGTCTGAGGAACCCAAACTAGGACAGCCTGAAAGGAAATGTTTATTTTCACCTTTGCTTCTGCCCAGAATACATCTTGTTAAGCATCTTGTGCAATTTTTTTCCAAGTATGCCCACCCTTGTAGAGCTTAGTACTTTAGACTTACGAAATGCAATCATTATCACTTTATTGTTTCGACATTTCTCCCTAGCATTTTATTACAAGGAGTGTACCTCCCATTTAAAGTAGAACCTGCAATACATCTGCCAGCTGTTTATATTTCAGGAAATTGACGTTTCTGTCAAGAAGCCAGTAGCAACATGTTTTCTTGGTGGGGAAAGTGGAAAATTTGGCAGCAAGCCAGAAACCTACTTCAGGTCACCTCGTTTTCACAGCCCTTCCCTTTCTTCAGCCTTTGTGGAGAAGTGAGAAGATGTGTTCAAACTTTCCACCTTTAAAAATAATTTAAAAATTCCACCCTTAATAATTCCCACCATTTGTTATCTGTGTGTTCAGTTGGTGAATTCCAATTTCACCTTTCTTGCGGTTTTGAAATTTTTCAAAATAAAAAATTGGGAAGTGTGGGATCATAGAAGAGAGTTAAATACCACAAGGGCTCAGAGTCATTCAGAACAGACAGAATTGTACTAGAATCAGAGACCACAATGAACAGAACGCAGCTTCGTCTTTACTCTGCCTTGGCTGACTTTTGGGAAGTGGGGTTGTCCAGCTTTTGTACTGGCGTGTAGAAACTTGGAAGGATGCTAGTTTCTTAATTATAAACTGCAATGAGAACTTACTTTTCTCCTCCAATAATTATTTCAATGCAAATATTCAAGAACTGCATTCTATTTAGTTGGCTTTTTGAAAAGTGAGTTGTTGCCCAGCTGGTGTGGCTCAGTGGTTGAGCGTCGACCCATGCACCAAGAGTTCACCCGTTAGATTCCCGGTCAGGACACATGCCCAGGTTGTGGGACCGATCCCCAGTGGGGGGCATGTTCTCTCTCATCCATGTTTCTGTCTCTCCCTCTCCCTTCCTCTCTCTAAAATCAATAAAGAAAAAAAAATTAAAAGGTGAGTTGTCTTGCTATCAGACAGCATTCACTGAGATTTACCTCTAAAATGGAGGGCTTTTTTGTGTGTGTGTACATGCCCCTAGCAGGGACCAAACCCAGGACTCTCTGGTCTGCAGGCCGATGCTCCAACTGCTGAGCCAAACCGTCCAGGGTGTAGGGCTTTTCTTGTTATAGCATCTGTTAGTTCTGTTAGCCCTTGCTTAGCTTCTGAGCAGCATGAAGTCAGTGACTTTCAACAATCAGATGTGATTAATGAGGAACGGGGGTGGGGGGGTGGGGCAAAAAAACCCTCACAAGATCATGCAGTGTGATGATGACAAGAATTTTTAATAGAACCCAGGACCTACTTGAGTTATGGCGCTGCAGCATATCCACAGTGGTATTGATTAAGATTTGGAAATGCTATTATTTCAACATGCATTCTCCAAGAATTGATTTCTCTACATTTATAGCAGGTAAATCAAACTGACAGGAGTTTTTTAATGTTTGAGGAGTAGCCACAAGCTCTTCCTCTAAGTCTAAAGAATGCATTTCACAAGAACATTGGCCGGAGGCAACGTGTCCTCAGAAGAGAAAGCTGTTGATCCCTGGCCGGTTTGGCTCAGCGGTTAGAGCGTCGGCCTGCGGTCCTGAGAGACCGGGGTTCGGTTCTCGCTAAGGGCACGTACCTCGGTTGCAGTTTGTCCCGGGCCCTGGTCGGTTGTGCGGGTGGCAACCACTCGATGTGTCCCTTCACATCCATGTTTCTCTCTCTCTGTTCCTCTCTCTCTCCCTCCCACTCTACCTGAACAAAAAATGGAAAAATGTCCTCGGGTGAGGATAAAAAAAAAAAGAAGAGAAAGCTGTTGAGCTGCTGGCCTCTCCCCGCAGGTGGCCGGGATTCATGACCATGACTGGCTGCCTACTGTAGTATGGCCCAGGCTGCTGCAGCCCACCCACCCTTCAGGGCCATGCCCATGAGTACAGTGCCTGTGCAAACAGGACATGCCTATTTGGATGGAGGGCAGTGTTATAATCTGCTTGTTTTTCTTTTCAGGAAACTCAAGACCTTGGCCAAAAAAACATTAGCTTCTGGGTGGGGCAGCTGCCTGGTCTCCGGGGAGCCTGGTAAAGGAATTGATTCACTTCCTGAGGACGGACCCTTCAAAGAGCCCTCTGGAAGGGGCTAGGAGAATTTGAGAGGAGTCCTAATGACAGGGAGGGAGTTGGTTAGAATATGTAACCCTGAATGCCCCTCTGGGGTTAAGTCCTGTTGTCTGCATGCCCGGGATGCAGACTGCCTCTCTCCCCTCCCCTCCCACCCTGGCGACAGTCCCTCCGCTGTTTGCTGGTGTCTGCGGGCATGCTCTTCCCGCCTCCAGGAGCGCAGCCACGGCCTCATTGCCCAAAGCAAACATTCTCCAAAGCCAGCTCATGCATTTCTCGAAAGCCTTCCCCACATGCTGTGTCAGGTGTCACCAAAGCATTGGAAACATGCTCCTACTACAGTACATAACAGATTTGTATGGACTATTTAAAATCAACTTACCCATTCAGTAAATAGTATCTCATTATGTGAGAGGCAGAGCTAGGAGCTGGGGATACAGGTATGAACTAAACAACTCTGGCTGTAAGATGCTCACAGTCTGGTAGAAAGACAATGCTCATCACGCTTGGAGAGGCTTCCTAATAGAGCCCCACCGGACCAGGACAGTCAATCAGCCTGTGGCGGGAAGGCTGCAGGCGAGTAGCTTTGGGAAGAAAAAATTACCAGTTTGGTTTTAGATGTGTTCAATCAGGCATGAAAGAGGAAATGCTGAGTGAGTGTAAAGTTTGGGGAGATGCGCATTTGAGAGCCACAGGCACAGGGACAGTGTTTAAAGCCAGAAGACCAGATGCTTATGGCATCTGGTAGAGAAGAAAAGAGAACCAAGAACTGAGCTCTGTGTCTCCCTCCATTAACTGACCTTCCTCTTCACATTTTTTTTAAATCTTTTTTTTTTTTTTTTAGTGGAAAAACAGCCCTGTGCACCTCAGTTGCGTGGCAGTGTTGGGATGGGAAGGGGAGATGGCAAAGATCTCCAGGCTCCTTGGCTGGGGGAGTCGTCGGGGATGCCTATCAGCCTATCTTGGGCGACTGGGTGGGACGGCGGGTGCCGTTCCAGCTTCAGAAAGCGTGCAGTTTGTCCCCTCTCTCCCGACCTCCCACCATTGTACCCCTTTAACCATCGAGCCCAGGCCCCACTGGCCTCGGGATCCCCGGCACCCAAGAGCTTCGCCAGGAGCCAAGTGTGTATTGTTTGGCTCAGAAAATGTAGTGGACTGATGAACGGACCGAGTGCCTTGCAGTGATTCGGCAGGTCACTGTACCCCGCTCCTGCCGGGAGTTTGGGGGGTGGGGGCGTTGACAGCAAAGGGGTGAGCGGGAGCGGCGGCCGCAGCCTTTGTGCCGAGGCTGCTCCCAGCTCCCGCCGCTGGGGGGCGGCCTCCAGCCCGCGGACCCCCGACAATAGCGAGAGGGGTGGGGAGCCGCGCGGTCCCGGAAACTTCACCCTCGAGTCTCAGCGGCCGCCAGCGCCGGGGAGCGCAGACTGGGCGCGCCCCTCTCCCGCCGCGGTCGGGGCGCTCCGCGGGGCTGCCGGTGGAACCCAACCCAGAGGGGCGGCAGCGCGGGTCCCCCGCCGCGCGGAGGGCTCCGGCACTGGGCCGGGGAGCCGAGCCTGCCATGGGGGAGGCGCCCAGCCCCGCGCCCGCGCTCTGGGACTGGGGCTACTTGGACCGCTGCTTCGCCCGCCACCGCGTCTGCATCTCCTTCGGCCTGTGGCTCTGCGCCTCCTCCTGCTGGATCGCCGCCCACGCACTGTAATGGGGACCGGGACGGGCGGCGCCAGGGTGGGGCGGTTGGGCAGCGGGGGAAATGGGGAGCTCCCCCCCCCAACTCCCCTTGGAAACCTAGAGGGAAGGGGCAGAAAGGGAGGGTGCAGGAGGCAGCAGTTTCAGGACCGAAACTAACATTTCACTGCAGACTGAAGTCGGATACTTCTCTCCGGGCTCCGCGCACAGGGAGCTGGGCTGTGGGCCAGCAGGAGGAGGCGGGCGGGTGCAGTGGACAGGGCCCTGGGCTGGAAGCCGCCAGTCCCGGGTTCTGTTGTCAGCCTCCCCCACTGACTAGCGGTGTGAACTGGGCAAGCTTTAAACCTCCGTTTTCCTTGTTTAAATAGGGGTGATAACTGATAGGACTGAAGGAAGGATTAGTAAAGCGCTTAGTAAGTGCTCATTAAACATCATTGCTGTTGCTCCACCTCTGCCACCAACCGTTGGCAGAGAGCAAGGCCCTTGTTTCTGGCCTCAGTTTCCCAAGGCTCTCTTAGCTTTGGGGAAGGGATGGCCTGACTCTCCGCCCAGAGTTTGCCCAGGTCTGTCCAGCACCTGGAGTGGTTTGGCCAGGCGGTCACCATAACCTGGGTTCTAAGGGTGAAGTCTGGCTAAAGATGGCCTCTAAGTCCTCAGCCACCTTGTCCCAAGCCCGGATGGGTGGTGCCACCCAAGTATTCCCTGCCAGAGGAGAAAGGGCTTGCACCCCCAGGAGGCCAACACTGGCTCACCTTAGGCACTCTGTGGATGTCCCCCTCAGGCGTTTGATAGTGTCACATATTTTCAGGCTCACTACCCAGTCTCTGGAATAGGAATAAAGACTCTAAAACATTTACTGTGGGCCTAGTGTTGCATCCATTAACTCATTTATTTCCTGCCACAACTCTAAGAGAAGGGATGATAACTACCCCCTTTAGATCTGGAAGCCTGGGGTTCTGAGAGATTCACTAACTTGCCTGAGTGAATGGAACAAACTAAAACTCGGGCTCCTGAGAAAGAGGCAGGCTGGTGAGGCTCACACTGGCCAGCCCAGAGGATGGAGACTAAGGAGGCACTCTGTGTGCTGTCTCCTTTGTTCCTCGCAGCCACCCCTGAGGTCTGCACTGGGAAACTTACCGACCTAGAAATCGAGGTTTGGAGAGAAAAAGTTACTCGAGAATGCCCAGCCAGCCGGTCTACGAGCAGAGCCTCTGCTCTCTCATCTGCCTTAGGTCTGGACACACTGCTTGTTTTTAGGACTTCGCCATCTCTGAACCTTCTTTTGTCTTTAGAGACCGTATCTCCTCTGAGCTGTGTGTGAGCTGGGTTAGGGTCAGCCTGGCATCCCCAACCCCGGAGGGCTGGGAAATGGCTGGATGGCAGCGGGGTCTGGAGTGAAGCCTCCATGAAGTTAGAAGGCCCATCGTTGACCCACTGCTGACTCCCTTTCACCATAAGCCTCAGTTTTCTCCACTTTCAAATGGGAGGATTGAGATAAATTATTTCTAATCTAGGTCAAACTCAGAGCTTCTGATTTAGAATTTTCATTCCTAGACTTTGAATCAGTTTCAGGAGCCCAGGGCCCAAATTCAGTTTGCTCTTCCTACTCTGAGCAACATCCCCTGGCAGGTCAGGGGATGTTGGGAACCTAACAGCCTTCCATCCTCAACCATTATTCCCAAGGGTTGATGCTCAGAACCAATCAAATGGCCCTAAGGATGTGAAGTGAGTACCACTCTGTAAATCCTAAGGATGAGGAAATGAAACCAGAGCTGCAATCGTGGTGCCTCTGTTTCTCCAGAGAAATGTAGCAGAGAAACATCTGGAATGCAATGCTCCTGAGATCCAATCAGTGATGCCGACAGAGAGACCGTTGGCCCCTTCCCGCTTGTTCTGCCTTTCTGAGCTTGTATAGGGTGTAGGCGGGTAGAGGCATTAGGGAGATAACCCAGTAAGTACTGGAAGGGGCCTAGGGAGAGGTTAGCCCAAAGTTCCAGGGCATCTTTAAGGAGTGTTGCTTTCCCTCTCTGTAAAGAACATGTACCCAAAATGAAATCAGCTTGGATGTGGGCTGGCAGAAGCCTGGCTACTTCATTACACGGATGGATTAGAAGGATTTCACTTTAATTTCAAAGAAACAAGTTGCCTTTTTAAATTTAGGCAGTTAATTCTGCTCTGCAGTAAACGACAGTGATTGGGTTACTTTTATAACTCTCCTGTTTCTGTTTCCTTTCGTCAAATAAAACCTGACAGCTAGTTTGTCAGCACTGAAAGGTGGTCATGAACTTGAGTTGGCCCAGTTTGTAGGAGGGAAGAAATTCCTCTTCATTAGAGAGGCAGGTCTGGCTCCCACCCCAGGCAGGGAGCTTTTTGATCCTTTCTTTCCTGATCTGTAAACTAAGTTCAAAAACACCTGCTGAATACGTGGGGGAGAAAGTGCTTCATAAGGACACACAGTCACAATTGTCTTTTTCAGACCCCTGCTTTGGGAGCCCACATCTACAACTCCCCCGTTTTGTCCACTGCCCTGTCTGTCCCCACAGGCTTCTCTATCTGAGATGTGCAAAGAAATCCAGACAGGACCAGTCGGCGCTGTGTGCTGCGTGCTGCCTCCTGGCCAGCCTGTGTGACACAGTCGGGGCAATTCTGACCAGACAGCTCACGATCCAGGTGCGTCAGACCCATAGGTGACCGTGGCTTCTGTCGTGTTTCCTCGCCATGCAAGGCGCAACTTGCCTCCAGGCCTGCGTTCTGTTGGCCTTTCTGCCTCCCTCTAAGGCTGTAGACCAGACAGCCACGTGGCTCGCTGCTCACCTCCTCTAAGTCTTCGCGCAGAAGCCACCTCCTCCATAGGGCCTCCCCTGAGCACTCCCACCGCAGACGCTCATCCAACTCTGTTTCTTTCCCATAGTCGAGCCCCAATACACCATCTACTTCACTCACTTAGTATGGTGATTACTTATTGTATTTAACCCCTACTAGAACATCAGCTCCACGGGGGCGAGCATGCGTAGTCACTACCACATCCCCGTCACCTCAAACAGCAGCTGGCACATCGTAGATGCTCAATAAATAGTGATGGTTGGTGCTATTGTTTCTAGAGCCCAGAGCCCAGCTCTAGCTCGCGCAGGAGTGTCTGAATCCTTTCCCAGGTGGTGATGAGAGCTTTGAGGCGAGTGAGAAACAGTGTTAAGTTTTCCCAAAGTCTAGGCCCTCAAACAAACCTGTATAGGAAGGGCCTGTTCCAAAGCACGTATCCCAAGGAAGATCTGTGGGCCCCCTGCAGGACCACCTCATAGGGATGGTCCTGACCTCATGCCCACCCAGCTGGCCATGATGGAGGACAACCTAGGAACAGATGGGAGACAGACTGGGAGAGTTCTAGACCCCGCTTTGAGCAGTATTGTCTCAGAAACAGATCGCTTTTCACGTGGGGTACCCATTCTTACTAGGAGGTGGAAAATAATGAGGCCCAGCTCAAGTCCAATAATAGTAGTTAGTATTTATTAAATACTTAGTACTTAGCACTGAGGGCTTTTTGTGTGTTGATTCATTTGATCCTCAAACCATCCTATGACATGAGTTCTCTCATCCTGTTTTACACATGTGGAAACTGAGGCATAGTGAGATTAAATGACTTCTCTAAGGTCACCCTCTGGCAGGTAGCAGTGCCAGGATTCGAACCCTGAAATGCGTGCTTGTAGCACTAACCGCACTGTCCTGGTAGCGAGTGCCTGTATAGATGAGTGTGTTTTACCTTCCCCCGAGTGCTAGCCTAAGCACTTCCCACGTATTGACTCATGTGATCTGCTTAAATGGCGAGCGAGGCGCTGCATTATCTCTGTTTTACAGCGAGGAAACTGAGGCCCAGAGGTCAGTGGCTGGGCCGAGGTTACACAGCAGAGATTCCACCGTGCGGTGGGAAATGTGGAGTAGAAAGTGGGGGGCTGGGTTTCTGGCCCATCGCTCCTGATGCACAGCTTCATTGCTCGAGATTAGTTGCTTAGCACCCACCCCACTTCCTGGTCAGTCAGAAGGAGGTGATCTCGACCTTGGGAGGCGCAGGGGCGCGCACGTGGTAAGAGATCCAGGATGAGAGGCGCTGTAGCTGCTGGAAAATATTTGACATCAAGACGATTTCCGTCTGCTCCCAGGTTTTCTCTGGTGCCTACCTCGCAGCTATTGACTTGATGGACTTTGTGTTCATTCTTTTCCCGGTCTGTGGCTCCAAATTCAAGTCTGATTCGGGTGAGTGTGTGGCCATCTGTTCCTGTCTTCATCCATGGTCTGGGTGCCTGTGCCTTGTCCCACCCGAGCTGGACCCCTGCCAGACACGGACCAAAGAGTGAGCCAGAGGAAGGAGACAGGGCCCGACGCATCCTTAGAGCTGCGGGTGGGAGTGTGTTTACCGGGGGCACCAGAGGGAGGAAGGGGCTGCAGGTGACCGGGAAGGAGGTGACGTTGGAGCTGGGACTGCAGGGAAGGGCTTCCAGGTGGAAGGAACAGTGTGAGCAAAGGCCAAGAAGAGGATGGTACATGGCTTGGGGGTAAACAGTGATATCCCAGGGCAGGCCCCAGCGTCTAGAAATGAATGCCCGGGATGGACACGGCCACCTCAGGCAGAGCGGGGTCTGAGAGTGACTCGACGGGAGGAGGAGTCGAGTTGGTGAGACGGGGGCGTTCCTGAGAAGGGGCAGCAACGTGCTTGGACCCTTGTCCGAAGAGGAAATGCTCGCATCAGATAGAAGATGCCCTCAGATGCCCAGTGCTGCCCAGAGGAGGATGTTCTTATTGGGATTGTTCAGAGGAGTATCTGTCTCATCTTTCAAGGAGACTTTCAAAGGCGATGCCCCTCGTCCCACTCGGTGTTGGTGTCCCGGCACAAACACGTCCCCTCCTTGATGCAGTCACCAGGCTTGTGCTAGCTCTGCTCTGCGCCAGGCTCTGAGGAGACTGTAGGAACCGCCAGGGCACGGCGCCTGCCCTCGGGGTTCCCGTCTAGGAGAAGCGGCCCTGTGCTCTCAGATACACACATATGATCAAAGTTGTGAGGAAGGAGAGAGTAGCAGCCGTGTGGGGGGCGGGCAGGGGTGGGCAGGAAAGGCTTCTTCTTAGAAGTGGCACAACCAGCGGGCCTTAAAGGGTTGAGAGGATCCGGCCAGGAGAACAACATGGAAATAGGAACCTGTCTTGGCATCGGGTCTGGGTCAGCACCAGTTTCTGCCAGCCTGTCTGGTTCCCAGGAACCATAAGGGGTTGTGGTGTCTGTTGCAGGTCGTGGCTCCCAGGGCAGGAAGAGGAGGCAGCGGCTCAGGGCCAGCGTGTTTGCCCTGACCCTGCCGCTGAGCCTGGGCCCCTGCTGGGCCCTCTGGGCTGCTGTCCCGGACACTTCAGGCCTCGTCCAAGGGCCACAGCGGAGGCTGCTGGGAATCCTGCTGCAGGTGAGGCTGAGCCAGCTGGGGCATAGCGGGGAGAGAGGGTCCCTTCCCTTTGCTGGGAGGTACAGTGGTTTCCTCGGGGTGCTGAGTGTATCACCTATTCCCACAGGACAGCACTGAAATGTTTGGCTACCTTTTGGGTGGCATTGCTGTCATCGGCTCCTGGGCCTCCCGGATCTCCCCACTCTCCAGAATCGTGAGCCTGGGGTTGGGGCTGGGATGGGGAGGGGGGTCACCGTGGCATGTGGGAGCATTGTCAAAGCTCCAGGTCACTGGGGCAGAGGGGTGGTGTCCCCCATGTGTGTGGGGACCTGGGGGTGGGGTGTGAGAGCCCACTGTGTTCTCTGCATTTTTTATAGTCAGTGAGCAGCAGGCTCAGGAAAAAGCTGCCAGGGTTGGACCAACAAGTATCACGTTAGAGAATGAGGAGGTTTTAGAATCACGTAGCTGCTGGCGTTCTGTGTATTTGAGAGCGTCTCCTTGGCAGGTATCTCCCAGGCCTCTGGGTGAGGGGAGACCTGTGTTGGCCAGTCCCGGGGAGATACAGATGTGGCTTGAGACGCTGCTTGCCCTTGGGAAGCTCACAGTTTCATGGAAGACACAGAATGCAAAGCAGGATAATTTTTTTTTAAATATTTTTTTCTTTATTGATTTTAGAGAGAGAGGAAGGGAGAGGGGAAGAGAGACAGAAACCTGTATTAGTTCCCAGCGCTGCCATATCTTTGAACAACAGAAATGTATCATCTTGAGAGAGAACATTGATTGGCCGCCTCCTGCATGTCCCCCACTGGGGATCGGGCCCACAACCTGGGCATGTGCCCTGACCGGGAATCAAACCGGCAACCTCTTGGTGCATGGGTTGACGCCCAACCACTGAGCCACACCGACCAGGCAACGCAGGATAATTCAATGCTCTGAGAAACATAGCATCAAATGTCAGGGGTTTCAGAAGAGGGGGAGAAGGCTCTTATACCGTGCAGATGAGTGAGGCTGGAAACTGCTCACACTGCCAGGCCCGTGGGTGCTGGGGGGCCTCTGGTTGTCTCCTAAGGGAAGGTGGAATTCAGGAGGCGGAGGCAAGGGAAAGGGGAGCGTGCAAGGGAAGCCACCAAGGCAAGAAAGAGCAAGGTATTGTGGATGCAAACCGCTCTTCCAGGGGCCTTGCTGAGGGGTAATGGCAAGGCCTGACGCAGGAAATGAAAGGGGCCTATCATCATTGTGTCTAAAACAAATCCCTTGCCTGCCCTGGCCGGTGTGGCTCAGCGGTTAGAGCGTCGGCCTGCGGTCCAGAGAGACCGGGGTTTGGTTCCTGCTAGGGGCATGTACCTCGGTTGCAGATTGTCCCCAGCCATGGTTGGGTCATGTGGGTGGCACCCACTCGATGTGTCCCTTTCACGTCGATGTTTCTCTCTCTCTCCCTCCCACTCTATCTAAACAAAATATTGAAAAATGTCCTCGGGTGAGGATTAAAAAAAAAAAAAAAAATCCCTTGCCCAAGAGCATCGTTTAATCACAGTTCCAGGGGAACAGGATTTGGGATGGCAGGTGCTCAGGGGGTCATTTGTGGGAAGCTGTAGACTATGCTGTGACATCCAGAAACCTCACGGGACCTGGTTTCGTCAGCAAAGGTACTATCTCCAGATCAAGGGAGGGGAGAGTAGGAAGCACCCTGGGACAGGCCTCCAGGGTGGCATAGGGGCTGGGAAACTGGGTCACATGATGACCTTAGAAGAACCAGTGCAGTGCCCTGACACCACCAGTATTAGTTCCCAGTGCTGCCATAACTTTGAACAGCAGAAATGTATCATCTCGAAGTCCTTCAGGCCAAAGGCCCAAGATCGAGGTGTCAGCAGGGCCACCCTCCCTCTGCAGGCCTCTCTCCCAGCGTCTGGTGGCAGTGGGCTCCAGCGTGCACGTGGCGTTCTCCCTGCTCAGGTGTTTGCACGTCACCTCCCTCTATGGGTTGTGTCCAGCTTCCCCCTTTCCGTGAGGACTCAGCCATACTAGATTAGGGCTCACCCTAATGACCTCGTCTTAACTTGGTCATCTGCAAAGACCCTGTCTCTAAATAAGGTCACGTTCATAGGCTCTGGGGATGGGACTTTCACACCTTTTGTGGGGACACAATTCAACCCGTAACACCACCCACCTAGAGTAGGCCAGGCCAGCCCTACTGCGTCCTCCACTCTGCTTCATTTTCTTCATAGCATTAGTCACATCCTGGAATCAGCTCTTTAGTCATTTACCAACTTAGACATCAGCAGCGTGACAGCATGGACTTGTCTGTTGTACTCCCCCTGTGTCCCAGGTGCCCCGGGCCTGTGGGCACCAGCAAACCCCTGTTACTGAAGGACTTAATCTGGCCTGGAAGCTCATGGACACAGGAATCAGAAGGGCTATCTCGGGACAGAGAGAGCAGCCTTGCTCTGTGCAGTCTCGGAGAACAACACTGGGAGGAGGGTATGGGAGGCCACCTCCCAGTCGTGGCTCAGACACTTTGAACGGCACCTGGCATGTTGAGAGCCATCAGTCTATTGTCATTCCTAACTTAGGAGGTAGTGGGCTCCCCATCTGTAAGGGCATTCAAGCCCAATGGCCCCTTGGCAAGAAGATAACTGCACCCTGGGGGACTTGTCATGGGCAGAGGGCTTGCCCTCCAACCTGCTATGCCACCAGGGCCCTGGGTCTTAGCTCTAAGGCACCTGTGGGCAGTGGCAGGGTTCCTCCCTGCCCAGCTCTCTCCTCTCTTTGCCTAGTGCCGGGGTAAGACGTTTTCCTTCATCCACCTGTGGACCCGGTTTCTGTCAGCTTTGGCGTGCCTCCTCTACGCCTCAGCCATTGTGGCCCATGACCGGAGGCCCGAGAACCTGCTGCGGGCCACGCCGTGGTTCCTGACCTTCCTCGGCCGTGCTGCGCTGGACCTCGCTGTATCTACCCCGGCCTGGGGCTGCCTGGCTGCCCGTCCCAGCTCCTCCCTGCCCCTGCCATGCCCTTCTTCCTTCTTGCTGGATGGAACTCTCTCCTGCTGGCCAGGGAGGTGGTTTGAAACCTGGGGCAGTGGAATTTCATGTTTTGCTTCCTTTAAAAAAATATGAGAATAATGATCTCATTGCCAGAGCTCTGTGACACAGCACAGGGGGCTGTGACGGCTCCTGGCCCTGGGATCAGAAGAGCCAGACTCCCGTCTCAGGTCTGCTCCTGACCTAGGTCAGTGCCTGCCCTCTGCGAACCTGTTTTCTTTGCCTTGCCTTTCTCCCAGGCTGGGGACGGCTGTGCGGGCCGACCTGCTGTGTGGGGTCACCCTTCCCCGTGTTCTCTCGGCCCTGGAGCCTGGGTGGGGGAAGCAGAGATAAAGTTGACGAGGGCTGCCCTTCATCAGTGACCGTGAGCACCTCCCTGGCTCCCCAGGACGTGTTGCCTGATGTGCTGACACACCAGTGACCCTGGCCTGGGGACCTCAAGGGCAAGCTAAGTGCAGACTGGTGGGCGGAGACGGTGTGCGTTTGGGGCGGTGGGGTGAGGGGAACCTGTGGATTTAGCACAAGTAATTTAGAAACTGATCTCATGTACTGTGTTAACTGGGGGATGAGTTGCGGGGGAAGGTTGAAGAGGGTAAAGGGGGAATAAATGGTGATGGAAGAAGACTTGACTTAGGGTGGTGAACACACAATACAGCCTTGGCCGGTTTGTCTCAGCAGTTAGAGCATCGGCCTGCGGACCAGGGAGTCCCGGGTTCAGTTCCCGCTAAGGGCAAATACCTTGGTTGCACTTTGTCCCCGGTCCTGGCTGGGGTCTTGTGGGTGGCGACCACTCAAAGTGTGTCTCTCTCTCTCTTTCTCCCTCCCACTCTATCTGAAGATAAATGCAAAAATGTCCTCAGGTGAGGATTAAAAAACAAACAAAAAAACAATACAATATACAGATGATGTATTACAGAATGGTACCCCTGAAACCTATATAATTTTATTAACCAATGTCACCTCAATAGATACAATAAAAGAAGTTTGCTAGGGCTGCCGTAACAAATTGCTACAAACCTGATGGTTTAAACAACAGAAATGTATTCTTTCGGCTCTGGGGGCTGGAAGCCTGAAATCCAGGCAGGGCCCCACTGTCTCCGAAGGCTCTAGGGAGAACCTGTCCGCTTCCAGCCCCTGCGGGCTCCTGGTGCTCCTTGGCTTGTGACAGCCCAGTTGAACTCTGCCTCTGTCTTCACATGGCCTTCTTCCTTCTCTGTACCTGTGTGTCCTCTCCTCTTAGGGACTCCTGTCATGGGGGTTAGGGTCCACCCTAATGCACTGTGACCTCATCTTACTGAATCATATCAACAAAGATCCTATTTCCAAATAAGGTCACATTCTGGGGTTCCAGGTGGATATGAATCTCGGGGGCACACTATTCAACCCACTATAGGTACGGTCCCTGTGAGCCAAGCCCTTCAAGGAAGATGCTTTTCAAAACACTTTTGCTTAAAAAGTGTTTCTTAAGTGCTTGGTAGAGGCGGGGTCCCGAGGGGGACAGGAGAGAGTCAGGCCTGGCCCTGTGCTCAGACGAGCTCCCCACTCCGGGAGGGAGAGCCCGGGGGCACCCTCAGTGAGAGGCGAAAGCGGCACTGGGTGGCTGCAACTCTGCTTCCTTGGACCTTAACTCCACTTCCCAGATCATTTTTCTTTCCTGGGTGATGAAAAGCAAGATAAGGCGGGCCTTGGGCTTTGCCTCTGAAGCCAGAGAGAGCCCTGACACCCAGGCCCTTCTGACCTGCTCGGAGCAAGAGGAGGACCGTGAGGAGGCAGGGGACCAGCCACAGTCTCACCGGCTGGAAAACCGCTGGGCCCCGCGGAGCATGCGCGCGGAGCGGGCACAGGTGGGCCTGGGATTCCGGATCCCTCTGAACTTGGCCGCTTGGTCACTTTAAAAAACAATTGTGTGTGCGCAATGCCGAGGGGCCCTGAATAAACAGCGTCCTCCATTTTCCCGGTGACAACGTACTTTTAAAGGTTTTTTGAACATTTAATAAACTTTAATATATTTTTAGCAATGCAGATGAAATAGTCGTGTCCACTCATGTTATTTAGCAATGTATCATATATATTTAAGTTTGTATACTACATAAATTGACGCGTAATCTGACCGGGTTAATGGAATAGAAGACAGCGAGGGGTGTGGCCAAGGTGAAAGGGTTTATGTAGGTGCATGGACCAAAGAGCCAGGTTCTCATGAGGCTCTAATGGAGGCTATTTTCATTCCATTCTAGCAACTACTATGAAATTATATCTCAAAGGGGAGCTAACGTGTAAAGAACGCCCTGTGTGTCTGGTTGTTCTGAGGGGAGGAGGCAGGGCCTCTGCAATCTCTTCAGCATCCTTAGCAGTGGTTCTCAAAGTGGGGTCCCTGGGCCAGCATCACCTGGCAACTGACTTGTTAGAAATGCATGTTCTAGGCTTCACCCAGCTCTACTAAATCCTAAACTGAGAATGTATTCGTCAGTCCACCGGGTGCTTCTGATGCAGTTTGAGAATTGCTGCTTTGCAAAAGCATTTATTTAGCACCTACTGCAGTGTTTCCCAGAATTTGCCAGACTTTACAATCGTCTGTAAGGCTTTTAAACTCTCCAGGTTACAACCATACCATTAAATGAGACTATCTGGGAGGAGGGGGTAGAGAGCGAAACATCAATTGGTTTGTTTTTTAAGATGTCCAGGTGATTCCACTGTGCAGCAAAGTTTGGGAGCCACCGACCTACTGTGACCTCAAAGAGATAAGGTGCATTTTATAGGAAGCAGAAAGTGAGATGTGCTATAAAAGAACAGAAAAAAAAACATACCCCTTTAGAGTTTTTGTTTTTGTTTGTTTTTAAGAAAATAGGACCTTGTTTTTAGAAAATGTCTCCTGACTTAAGAATTCTCCTTTCTGTCTCCCCGTCTCTACTGGAAAGCATTTGGATTGGGTGCCTCTCACTACACTACCGCACTGCAAGGCACTCAGGACAATGGCATCCGTCAGTCACTACATGGAGCTGACCATCGAGCCGGTGCAGCAGGTTAGTGGCCATGTGGGAAGTAGTCATGGAAGTCTTCCTGGAGGAGGTAACACTTGAGTTGCAGGATGGGCAGGGTGAGGCAAGGAAGCATGAAAAAGAGGAAGCGGGAAACGAGAAAGGGAAAAATAAAAAACAAAAAAGAACAATTAAAAGGGGGGAGGAAAAAAAGAGAGAAGGAGCTCTTCAAGGTCTCAGTGGGAGGCAAATGGGGGGAGAGCAGGAGATGGCAGGGTAGGGAGGCGGCAAGGGTGATGCCATCACACTACGGAAGCTGTCATCTTGAGGTGATGGGAGTCTAGGAGGCTTCAGACTAGAGACAGGGTCAGACATGCTAGAGCAGCGGTTCTCAACCTGTGGGTCGCAACCCCTTTGGGGGTTGAACGACCCTTTCACAGGGGTCACCTAAGACCATCGGAAAACACATATTTCCGACAGTCTTAGGAACCGAGACACCGCTCCTCTATCCCTCTCCAGGCGGGTCCACACACATGCAGATCGCCCACATACAACACGAGGAACTGTATTAAAGGGTCGTGGCATTAGGAAGGTGGAGAACCACTGTGCTAGAGCCATCACTCAGGCAGTGTTGGAGGACAGACTAAGGGAGAGGAGGCTGGAGTCCAGGTGGTCAGCGAGTGACAGTTGTAGGTCCAGGAAAGGGCTGCTGTGGCCTGAACCAAGGCTGGGGAGAGGGAGAAGCAGAGACGGAGTGGGGCGAGTTGGCAGGTAGAGCACAGAGTGGGTGAGGATCTGGGGGTGAGGGAGACAGGGCTCCTGATGTCTCGCAGGGTCTGGGCCTGCCTGCGGGGTCCTCAGGAGGAAGGGGACTAGAGAAAAGAGGGAGAGAGGTGACGAGTTCACCCCAGGTCCCACTATCCCATGAAGACTGTTCTTGTTGAGGTTACCGGTGACTTCCAAGTTGCTAAACCCCGGGGTCATTTCGGTCCTAATTGAGACTCAACTCACGTGGTCACTAGCTCCTTGGGACTTCTGGGACCCTCATTCCTGGCGTTGCTGCCACCGTCACAGGTCTTTCCTCGTCACTTGTCCTGGCTCCTCCTGGTGAGCTTGACCTTAAGGCTGCAGGACCCCTTCTCTCTGTCCTCTGCAGGCCCACAGGCCCACAGCTCACATGCCAGCTCGTGCTGGTCCCCGCGTGCACGCCTCCAGCCTTTCCCTCTCCCTCCGTTCCAGTTTCGGCTGCTGACGGCCTGTTCACACACCACCTGGCTTTCCGGGGCCAACTGTCCAATAGGCAGTTCTGGACTTCCACGCCCAGACCTCTCCCCGTCGTCCTCATCTCAGCAAGGACACCGCTGTCCATGCAGTCGGTCAAACCCCATATTCCTCTCTTCCCTTCGTTGCAAGCTTATGCCTGTCCAATCCTGAATCTGCAAATACAACTTCTTAAATAGATCCAGCAGGCGTTTCCCCTCCATCGCTATTTTTGTCCCCTCCTCTCCATCTGCAAGTGTCTCTTATAAATGTAAATTACATTTTGTTCCTCCTTTGTTTAAAATATTCCTCTGGATTTCCATTTCACAGAGGATGAAATCTAAACCTCTTAACAGACTTCCAAGACCCTGCCAGCCCGGCTCCCTCCCTGCCTGCCTCCTGTTCTCTCCCTCTTCATTCTTTCCTGGAGGCATGGGTTTCTCTTCCTTCCTCTGCCGGGGTGTTCTTCCTTCTGATTTTTTTTTTTAAACATGACTGCCTTTTCTTGTCTTTTGGTCTTCAGTGAAAATGTCACTTTCTCCGAAGGCCTTCCTGAAGCACCTATTCAGAAGTAGCCTCCTTCTCTGTCACATTATTTTATCACCTTTTTTAATTCTCTGCAAAACATTTCCCACAATCTTACTTTTGTTTGTTGTCTGTTTCCTACTGGGATATAGACTTTGTCTCCTTCCGTCTGTTTGCCCAGACCCTGGAGAGTCGGCCCCAGGCTCTCTGTGAAGGTGCGCTCGAGCACGGAGTTCAGGGGGAGTGCCCCCCGAGCTGCCACAGGACACGCTGACAGTCAGGGAGCTGGGCCCCAGACATGGGTTTAACTCTCTGTTGTTCTGTGGCAAGTGGGTGCAAATAACCAACATGTACTATAAGTGAAGGTCAGGGATACTTGGCACATGCGTTCACAGTGAAGAGCCCATTTGGCTGTTAAATCCTCCTTCCCACGCGAGGGTGGGGAGGTAGGGGGCAGGAGGGCACGGGGAACCCTGGCAGCATCTGGCCAAAGCTTTGCACAGGACATTTTTAAATCATGGAACTTTCAAAAAGTAATAGTACAAAAATGAATTTACTTTAGCCCTTCCAGTACCTGAATCTTGGGTAGTTTCCTGCTGGGGAACAGACTCCGTGAAAGAGGACTGTGTTCCTCCTTGGTTCTCTTCCACTGGGGCCAGCCAGCACATTTTTGACCGACTTGCACCCAGCCTCTTCCTTCTGTGTCCACCAGAGGGCGAGAGGGGTCTTGGAGATAGCTCCCTGCAGGGAGCCTGCCGCCCCACTGTGCAGGGGCAGGAGGCCGCCTCACTGGCTCCAGGGCCTTCATTCCCATGAGGGTTGGTTTGTTGAGGGCTAACTCAGGCTCTGAGTAACTACTGACAGCCAACGCTTCCATGATGCTTACTGTACTGTCGTAGTGCTTGGAGCACTGGTCTAAGTGCTTTACTTAGATGAACTCTTAATCCTCACAGCCAACCCCTGAGGTATTGTCCTCATTTTACAGATAAGGAAAATAGGGCGCAGAGAGATCAAGCAACTTGCTCAAGGTCACACAGTTTGTCAGTGATAGAACTAGGATTCCGATTAGTCTCTACCGGAATCTGTGCCCTTGATGACTCTACATACTGCCCTTTGGCATAAGTGGCCGACACCAAGTAAGCACTTGATAAATGGCTGTTTCTTTAAATTATCATTAGTGCAAATTTTCATAATAACCTATGATATAGGTACTATTATTTCCATTGTAATTTATTAATCATTAATAATTTTATTATTTTACATTGAGGCACAGAGAGGGTTAAGTCTCTTGCCCAAATCCCACAGTTAAAAAACCACAGAGGTGTTCAACAAAGCCTATCCCAATTCTGAGACCTGAGCTTTTGTAAAGAGAGGATCCTCTCAGTCCTGCTGTATCAGGCCAGCTCAGTTAGCAAATTATCCTTTTTCACGAGAATGTCCCGTGGGCAAGGTTGTGGTGCAATAGGGACCCTGGGGCTATGTGTACTGACGGAGGTCCTGTTTGGACGGCCATCTGGGTGTGGGCAAGAGCCACAGACTGCTGACTCATCTCCCGAGCATCCCCTGCTGAGCACTAGTCCTGAGAGATTTTCCAAGAGATGCAGCCGGGTTCAGACTGAGCTGAGGAGCCCAGGGCTGCGGGTCATGGGCATCAAAGGACCGGAGTATTTGAAAAATCCATTTTATCTGTTGACTCAGGCCTGGAGGTTTTTATATGGTTGTTGCCTGGAGGGCTTCTGTTCCCTCCAACTCCCATACCCCAGGGACTGCCCAGAACAATGCCTCTCTCCCCTGGAGACCTTCTGTCCTGTGCAGCGGCTCTCACGGAACCACTCTTGTGCAGGAGTGCACTCCGGTTACGCTCCAGTCACGCTGGAGCCCTGTGTGACCTGGAGTCCAATGTCCAGGACACCGACATCTGAGCCCTGTGACACCACAGGGCAAGGCAGGAATTACCACCCCCTTTTGTAGATCAAGAAACTGAGGCTCAAGGAGGCTTAATTTCTTGCCAAGGTCCCATGGTTAGTTGGTGAAAGATACAGGTCCAGGAGGCAGGCTGTTCCTCCTGCCGCGTGTCAGTGGGATGACTGCCGGGTCTGCACCCAGCCCTCAGAGCTTCAAGTACTGCAGGGGAGCCCTTCCCCCGCTGTGAGCTCGCTGGAGAAGCTGTCTTCTGAAAGATAGATGACAGAGAGATAGAGAGATAGATGATAGATGGATGATAGAGGCAGATGATAGAATATAGATAGAAAGATAGACAATTGATAGATGGTTGATAGAATACAGATAAAAAGATGATAGATAAACAGACAAGTAGAAAGTAAAGAATTAGTTGATAAATGATAGAAAGATAGCCGGTAGATTGATAGACAATTGACAGGTAATAGATACAATATACATAGAAAGCTAGATGATAGATAGATGATAGATAGATAGATAGATAGATAGATAGATAGATAGGGAATCTCCCTTAAACCTTCCAAGTCACTTTCTGCCGTTGGTGGGTGTGAGGTGAGTAAAGCCTGTGTGGAGTGCATTTTTGGCAACAAGTGTCCAAATTTCAAAGGCATATACCCTCTGAGCCAGCAATTCCAGTTCTAGGAATGTATCCTTTAAATACCCTGAAGTTTTGGATGTGCAATGTCAGTTACTGCAGTCAGTGTTGATTGTAAAAGCAAGAGATTGGAAATACCTTAAATGCCCACCAGCAGGGCACTGGTTTAAGTAGATTGTGAACACCTCTGTGATGCTACCAAAACAAATGTCTGATTCAGTACTGCCTGAGACATATTAAGTGGGTAAAAAAGCCAAAATGCATGAGAGAGTGTAGAGCGGGCGACCTTCTGTGCAAGGAAGGAGAAATGTACAAATGCATTTTATTGTATACGTTAGAGACCATCTGGAGGGATACAAAAGAACCCTGGCGCTGGCTGCCTCCGGGGAGCACCAGGCGCTGGGGGATGAGGGTGGAGGTAGGTGTGCACTGTACACCCCCTTTCCTACCTTTGGAATACTGGAATGCGAGTGTTTTGACAATTCAGAAATAAAGAAGTAAACTACGTGTTCCTGCCTGCCCTTCCCCACACACCTTGCAGGCGGGCTGCAGCGCCACCAGGCTGCCCGGTGACGGACAGATGAGCACGGGAGACGCGTCCCTGCAGGAGCCCCCCTCATACCCTCCCATTCGGGTCATTCGGGCCCGCGTGTCTTCCAGCAGCTCCTCCGAGGTGCCCTCCATCAACTCCGACCTTGAGGTACTCGCGGTTGCCCGCCTGCGGGTGCACGGGCGTCCTCCTTCCTGACCCCACCGTGCCTCCTCGCTTGCGCTGCAGGTCTCCGCCCTCGCTCCGCTGGGCCTGCTGAGTAATGAACGCGCCTCTGCTGACTCCTGCCAGGAGTTCCCCCGCCAGCCAGCGCTGAGGAGGGCTTTCCATGGTCACATTGGTCAGCCGAACACTGCAGAGTGCAGCGTGGCCTCTGCGAGTCCCTTGCACATCCAGTTACCAAACATAAATGCATAATAATAAACTCTGAAAGGGTCTCGGAGTTTCCCGAACCTATGTGACCGTGGAAGTGCCCCCCTCCCCAACCCCAGGAGCACCAGCGGCACCCTGTGGAGCCATCAGGGTCATACTTGGGGTCATACAAGCCTGGCACTTTCATCAGCTTGACCTCATTTTAAGTTTTGGGTCTGTGAACAGAACATGTCACGTTTTGATGACCACAAATGGATGTCACCCTCAGGTCTGAGCCGTCCCGTCAGCCCACCGCTGTGGTTTCCAGCCCTGTGTCTGGAAGGTGAGAACAAGGACAGTGACCTGGACATGTGCTGTCAGCAGGGGAAGGACTGTCCTTCATTCTGGGTTGGTGTTCTACTGTTTCGGTGTTAAAATGCCCTTTTACAAAATGATGATAATAATATGTGGTAGTTGGTGTTGAGTTTTTTGTTTTGGTTTTAATGGTCTTATTTGGCAAAATAATCCATTAGCTGTCCTAAGCGGGTCCCTCAGCTTTGTTGAACTCTTCGTGGACCCTGAAATTGGAAAGACTCAGAGTCATTGATGTTTCGGTAACCCCCCCCCACACACACACACACACACACCAGAGATGAGCGGCTCCTTCCTTCCTTTGGGTGCCCAGAGCATATGCCTCTCTCGCAGTTTCCACTGTTTGCCACGAAGCCGGTGAGCTCCTCCAGGCTGTGCGCGAGCTTTTAGGTGTAGGGCCTGGGCCCCCTTTGTCTTTCTCTGTCCCTCGATCCTGGAACACAGTTGGTCACTGAGAGCTGGGTTTTGAATGAGGGATTCTGCACCAGACTGGGGACCATGTGTGGCCTGTGTACCCCGGTGTCATTCAGCGTTGTCTATATCTTGGGTTCAGTCATGCAAGCACACGGCTCGGCAGCCTGCAGCCGGCAGTGTGGGCAGCGATCTAAGGCTCATCAGGAAACGAGGAACCGTACAGCAACGTGTGTTCAGTGAGGAGAAGGGACAGGTTGGCGAGCCAGGGAGGGCCTAGGGGAGCAGGGCCTTCAGTCTGTGGAAACAAGGGTGATTTTTGTCGCCCACCCACAGTTAGGGTAAGGATTGGACAGTGACCTGGAAAAATCTGGACATTTGTCTTGGTGGCTGATTTGGGCCATTTCTCTGTTCTGCATTCCACGTTCCTTTCCTACTGACTGTCTTTTCAGACATCTGTTTTAGAAGTGCAGCTGCCCCAGCCCACCCCCCACCCCCATAACCTCCAGTATAGTCCTCCTCGTTTCCTAAAATATACATACCCTGAATGACAAAGCTACTGAGTCCTATAAAGAAATACCAGGGTGGCTCAGTGGTTGAGCATCGACCCATGCACTGAGAGGTCGCCGGTTCGATTCCTGGTCAGGGCACATGCCCAGGTTGCGGGCCAAATCCCCAGTGGGAGACATGCAGGAGGCGGCCAATCGATGTTCTCTCTCATCGATGTTTCTATCTCTCTCTCCTTCTACCTTCCTCTCTCTAAAAAAAAATCAATAAGGAAAAAAAAAATACCTTAGGATTTCACTAAACATATATACTAACAGGTCAAATGACTTGTAAAGCTGTCCATACAAATAGTTTCCTATATGAGCAGTGATATTTTTATCAGGTATGTGGTCTAGTGGGCCTCTGGTCATCTATACTTTCTGTTCTTAAAAGTAATACATATTTATTGTACAACATTTGGAAAATGTAAAGAAGAAAATTAAAATGAACTCACAAGCCTACCAGCCAGCGACTGCCTCTGGGTGGAGGGATTGTGCAGGCTTAACAGCCTCCCCTGTTTGGGGGCAACATTCTTTAAAGATCCTGGTTCCTTTATAGTTGAATGTGAGCAAGAGGTGTCTTTTAGCCCTGGCTGGTGTGGCTCCGTTGGTTGAGTGTTGTTCTGTGCACCAAAGGTTGCCGATTTGATTCCTGGTCAGGCCACATACCAGGGATGTGGGTTTGAATAGATGTTTTTCTCTCTCTCCCTTCTCTCAGTAAAACTCAATAAAAACATAGATTTTTTTTTCTTAAAGAAGTTGTCTTTTAGCAGATGAGTGTAACACAGCACTTGACCTCTCTGTTTAAACACTCATTCAGCAAACTTTTTGAGGGTGAGGATTTGAAGGGAAAATGCACAAGGACAAATGGGCTGGCCCAAACTCCCCTCACGGGGTGGAAGGTACTTGGTCGGTTAGTCAGCTGAAAGTCTGATCCTTGCCTTCCTCCTCCAGCCCACATCCCAAAGAGACTGGATCAATGCATCAGTGCAGGGTCCTAGGTGAATTCTCTTGTTCCCAGGATTTCACAGTTTTAGTATTTGATGGCACTGGGCTGAGACACCTGGAGACATCCCTCTCTTGGGATGCCCCCACCCAGCCCTCTCCCCTGGATCTTCTGGAGTGGGCGTCCATCCCTCCACCACCTCTCATTGTCTGTGTCTGTTGCCAACCAGCTGGGCTTCTGCTTGACCCCACAGGTCTATCCATGCACGCTTCAGCTCCCACTGTAGAGACCTGTGAGCCTGGGGCCACTCTGTGCCCTTAAGATGGTGTGTTTATTTCTTCTGTGGTTCTTTATGATTTCGTAACTTAACTCTCAGAGGGTGTGGTTTTGTGTCCATGTCCTTGGGGCACATACTGACTGTTTTAAATACCTACTTCCTGTAGGGCTGGGGGAGGTGGAGAAACCAGTGGGACCTGAACAAGGCATCCCCAGCACTCTGGGCTAAGTGTTTTTAAATCCATTAATAAGAATAACAGTACTCATTGTGCATGTCTAACAGTGACTGTGTGCGTGTCATGAGCCAGGCACCTTATGTTCTATACTTTATAGGTGCTGTTTGATGTCATCCTCTTAGCCCCAAGGCAAGTACCTTTGTGATCCTTGTTTCCCAGAAGAGGCAACTGGGAGTCAATGAGTTTAAGTAACTTGCCCTTCCTCCCCACAAAATTAACAACAACAATAATAATAATAGCTGGCAGACCTGGGATTTGAACCCAGCTCTGTCAGGCTCTGAAACCCCTATTATAACCACTGTGCCTTGGCAGGAATTTGTATGCAGGACCAGGTTTATTATCCATCATTTCCATGCTATAGATGGGAACACTGACTCTCCCCAGGACTCATGTGTGCCCTGCTTGGGTTCTTGGACAGTATTCTATCTAACAGACAAGATAAAACATTGGGGTTTGCAAGTAATTCCAATGATGGCAGCACAGGAGAAGGGATGAGACCGAGACAGAGCAGGCTGTGGGAGCTCTCATGGAGGGAGAACTTGAGTATTTTCACTTTTCCCTGAGTGTCCACTGGCTGGACTGGTCAAGGCAGCAGATGAATGGCCTTGGGGCCTCAGGCCATTTGCTTGAGCTGTGTGAGTTTCTGGACATCTCCACAAGAGGTGGTATACTCCACAGACTGGGTCTACTCATTCATTTGCTCACTCACTCCTTCGGCACAAGGCAGCCTCACTCGGGGCACAGCCACTGGAGCGGGAGCGTAGTGAGCAGATGTTGAGTGAGGGGGACCTCGCCCGCCCCGCTGTGTACTGCAGGTGGGAGGGAGCCCAGAGGGAGCAGGGCTTCCGGGAGTGGTCATCCACTCCCGGGGGCAGCCAGCACCTGGCTTATGAGTTCAGGGTTGACTTTCCCCTGCCATTGAAACAGTTCCTCCGCCTTTCAAAGGCTTTATTTTATGTTACTTTTTTAGTCTTCCCTGGCATGCAAGAAAAGATTAAGTCCAGCTTTGCGACGAAAGCCCATTTAGTTATTTTTTCCTTCTGCGCTTCCTGGCAATGCCATAGACTTGCATAGGAAGCTTGTAGAGACTCTGCAAGGAGGCTGTCTCTGTCATTGGAACGAAGTCTGCGTCTTGGAGAATGACTGTGACGGAAGCTTTTGCAGTTGGGGCGGGGGAGGGGAATGAAGCCAAACACCGGATTGCTCTGCTGAGAGAGGGCAAGTCCCAGGCCTGTGGGTCCTGCTGTCTGTGCCCTAAGCTCTTGACAGCTGGGACTCTTGTTCCCCTCCAAACCCTGCTTCCGCACCAGCAGACCAGGACAGATTCATTTGGACATTTGTCATTCTTAAAGCCAAATCATTCTTTTTTTTTTTTTTTTTATCCTCACCCGAGGACATTTTTCCATTTTTTGTACAGATAGAGTGGGAGGGAGAGAGAGGAAGAGACAGAGAGAGAGAAACATTGACGTGAAGGGACACATCGAGTGGCTGCCACCGCACGACCAACCAGGGCCGGTGGACAAACTGCAACCGAAGTACGTGCCCTTAGCGGGAACCGAACCCGGGTCTCTCCGGACCGCAGGCCGACGCTCTAACCGCTGAGCCAAACCGGCCAGGGCCAAATCATTCTTTTAAGGAATAAATACACACACACAGACTATAAAAGTGCCCGTGTTAGAGAAAATACATATAAGTAAGAAGAAAGAGCCTAGAACGTTCTAATAGGTACAAAGGCTAGAAATGAAGTTGAGGATGTGGTTTCTCCACTGACCTGTTTCCTCCCTGGGAAGGTGGCATCACCTGCCATGACAGAGGGAAAGAGCACATCCTGGCTCCCCTCCCCCCCAGGGAAAGGGGCCGTGCAGGAGAGAGGACTGATCGGGAGCCGGGCCCACCTCGGCTCTCGCGGCCCTTCCAGGCAGCCTTGCGCTGACGCCTTGAGCTTTCACTTCTCCCTTTGTAAATGGACATCACGAGACCTTCCCTGCTTATGTTACAGAATGACTGAGGGTCAAACGGGGGGTGCTGGTGGGGCTTTACAAGACTCCCAAAGGTGCTAGATTGTCGTGCAGTGGACACCGGGCTGGAAATGGGCTTCACTACTCACTCCCGCCCTCTTAGCCGTGGAACCAGACAACACCCGCTCGTGTACTGACCTGCTCTGAAAGTGGAGACAATGAGTTCGGGGAGGATGTGGAGGTTCCACCGAGGTCAGAATGTGAAGGAGCTTTGATACAGTGGAGCAGTGGTCCCACAAACGTTCACTGTGAAACCCCAGCTTCGGAATGGGTGATCTTTCAGGTCCCACTTAGCAACGTGACCCTAGGGGTCCAAGTGTGTGGCTGAAAGGGGTACGAGGAGGTTATACACCGAGTCAATTCTTAGCAGTAGAAGGGCTTCCATTAAGAAAACAAAGGGGTCAGCCACCTGCCAAACTTGTGAATGTTCTTGATAGTACAGCAGCTCAGGCTGCTGGGTCTGCCCAGATGCCACTCGGAACACCTGTGGCCTCCTCAGTCTCCAGACGCATTTCCAAACCCGCTGCCCGCAATCCGGGAACAGC